AGATGAAGAAATACAAACAGCAAATAAATATATGAAAAAATGTTGAACATCACTGGTCACTGAAGAGATGAAAACTAAAACAACACTGAGATTCCACCTCAGTCCAGAAAGAACGGCTATTATCAAGAAATCAAACAATAACAAACGCTGGAGGGACTGTGGGGAAAAAGGAACACTTTTCCACTGCTGGTGGGAGTGTAGACTGGTACAATCACTGTGGAAATCAGTGTGGCAATTCCTCAATAAATTAGGATTAGATATCCCATTTAACTCAGCTATTTCCTTTCTGGGTATCTTCCCAAAAGAATTAAAAACATCATAGCACAGTGATATATGTGCACCCATGTTTATAGCATCAAAAATTGTAATAGCTAGATCTTGGAAACAATGGAGATACCCATCAACTAAGGAGTGGATAAAAAAGATGTGTTCTTTTTATATAATGGAGCATTAGCTATAAAGAAGGATAAACTGGAGACTTTTAGAGGTAAATGGGTACAATTTGAGTCCATACTCCTAAATGAAATAAACTAGATGCAAATTTGTAAACATTGTATTGTCTCCCTAGTGTGAGAAGCTGAAAGAGTAAATGTGATCCAAAATATACAATAGATATTGTAAAAAGAGAAGAAACTTCAAAAGGAAAGAGAAAATGGTTTAGGGGAATGGGAAAAAAGAAGAAAGAGAAAAGAGAAAAGAAAAAAAATATATATATATATGATAGTTAAGATAGTTAATTTCTAATTAACTAATTTCTCTCAGTTCATTGAAAAGATAAGTCTATGCTAATATTGTTTGGACAATTCCGTGGTGGCGTCTCATACTCTGGGTAACTAATTTAAACATAACAATATGCAATGTACTAAGCATTGTTACCCTCCTATCATATTGTTTTGGAATTTTGTTTTTTATTTTTGTTTCTTTTTCTTTCAAATAAAAATTTTTTAAAAATTAAAAATAAAACACATATATAAAACATATATATTATATATAATATATAAATTTTGAGGTTACTAAACTTCAGCAGCAGCAATCATTAGCAGGCAGTGACATTTGAAAATGTAAACATAGAAAAAAAATAATTTCCCATATGGCAAACAAAAGGGACAGGCTAGGAGTATGAAAGAAATGCGTTAGTCTATATTGTCCTGTGGCAAAAGAGCCACACTAATAAATAATGCATCAGTTTACACCACTTGCTCCAGTCTGAGCGAGCATAAAGGCCACGTTTACAGCACTTCACCGCACATTTACATGCTGAAGAGTTAGCCATTCAAGGCAATTATGTATTTTCATTGCCTTTATTTCCTTCCACATGTGACACTTTTAAAGTTTTCAAAGGAAGTGCTACAGATAACGGCTTTTTATTTCAAACTATTTTTCAAGTGAAAATGGCCTGTAATCTCTTCAGACGCTTTTACATGAGACCTACATTCTTTTTTCTTGAACTTTGTGTGCTTGAACTTTCTTTTTATAACCTTTTCCTCACACTTCCCTAGAGACATGAACCCTACCTTCCTAAGTCCCCTTTCCAGGGACAAGAAGCATACCAACCACCTCAACAAAAAGCAAATATGAGAACAGCATAAATCCAGGAGACGGCACTGCGCAATCACGTTAACTTGAGATGTCTCCTTGAGAACATCACTGGGAATTCCAAAGAGCAAGTTCGGGGAGTCGGCAGTGCTCACCTCTCAGCCTGAAGCTGAACACATTTGCCTTCTGGCATTAAGAGCTCAAACACAGTGTCACAGAATCTCAGGACTGCAAAAAACTAGAGGTCATTTAGCCCCTCTTGTTTCCATGAATGCATCCCCTCCATAATATCCCTAATAACTGCTCTTCACTTTCCCCTTGAACTTTTTCCTGACAGTGAACTCACCACTGTCCAATGCTTCAGATAAAAATAAATGCATCCTATTCAGTGGTAGATAGTTTTACCAGCTGTACAATATTAGTTACTTTCAGTATTGTGAATCCTACCCGTCTCACTAGCACAAGCAATGTGTTCTTCATCTGTTGTGTATAAAGGCATAAAAGGCACCCATGTAACAGGAAAAGCTTTCATTTCTATTTACTGACCTACACACACGCTGCCTTTTTTCCAAAAGGATCTTGAAATGACTGAAAGCACCTGGGTGCGATAGAATTATTAAAACAGAAATAGAAATTCAAAGTCCTGAAAAGAGATTCTTGACTCAAAGGCTAATACAGTTGCTGGCACTGAACTTAAATGTAGCAATGAGCTTTCTACAAGTCAGTACAAAAAAAAGAAAAGAAACAAAAGAAACATTGTGGATTACCAAATTCTCCTTATCTAATAGAAGAAAGTACACCAATTTCCCTCTAAATGAAAATTTTTCTTAGTTCTAAATTACAAGAGGAATTTCTCATGTATCATTTTATAAAAGTGCTTTGATTTTTTAGTTTTCTCTGCACATTAATTTCCACCCTCTAATGTACTGCCAAGAAGAGTGCTGAATAACACTTTCAGTTTTACAACATCAATCCAGCACTAAGCAATCCTTTATTCTATTTTTTTTCTCTTGAGAATAGAACACAAAGCGTGAGGCCTGGAGACCTACTTCTTCAAAAATCACTGGGAAAACCCTTAAACTATCAACATCACCTTTTCATCAGTATTATGGTGCTACAGCTCCCACACACCTAGTTTGTAATAGCTGGGAACAAAGGAGACACCCATGTGCACCCATGAAATGTGTCCTTGTGAACTGAGAGAGGGCAAAGAGAGCAGGGGAGACCAGCGAGCGGGCAGAGAGGGCCGGGGGGCTCTGCTTGCACAGCTGGTAAGACCTTGATTCTCAGGAGCATGGCACAAGGTGCAATCATAGCTGGACCTGCTGTGAGAGGCAATGCAAAGAATTGGGGACTCTCACTTGTTTTTATTTAATTTTTAACCTAGGACTTCAAGCATGCTAGGTAAATGCGCTGCCACTAAATCACAACCCCAGCCCCTCTCGTGTGTTCTTTACATGCGCCAATTTTGTCGCAGTGAGCTCATGACAGAATTCACTGCCTACATGATATACTAACAAGTCTACAGTGGCTTCAGGTAGCCATGCCTTGTGCTTTAATACTTTCTCTGCTCTTGGAATAAAGGGTGGGGAAGATACCACCATAGAATGACCAATATATGTTTTAAGACTTTTGTGGTACATGAGACATCCCAAAAGACCATCATACTTGACTCACAGCATCAAATTACTCTCTTCCCAGAGGTTTTCATAGTCATTTAGACTTTACCTGGACTATTGGTTCCATCATTAAATGCCTAACACAGTCAGAGTCATATAAAGATGGGCATCTGCTGCGAGAAACGTATCATGCGGAGATTTCATCACTGGGTAAAAGTCGGAGTGTACCTCACAAACCTAGATGACATAACCAATGATTTGCATGTGCTGCATGGTGTCTGAGTATGGCACGGCGTATTGCTCAAGGTTACAAACCTGTACAGTATGTTACTGAAGTGAACACTGTAGGCAACTGTAATGCAATAGTATTTGTGTACCTAAACATACTTAAATAGGTTTGCTTACACTAGCATCACCACAAATATGATCAATGTGCTGCACTAGGACATTGGGATGGCTGGGACATCACTGGTGACAGGAATTTTTCACCTACATTATAATCTTAGGGGACGACTATTGTATATGTGGTCCACTGTCAACCAAAAGGTTGTTATGCAGCAGAGGACAGTAAAGTGAAGACAGGAGGTCCCTTTCTCTCCTACATAACACCAGCCAGCCTTAACCCTCTGCGCTCCCAATAGCTAGGGAAGCCACACTTGCAGCCTTTATTTCCTCTGTTCAAATGTGGCAACTTGGTTATTATAATTATCAACACTGGCAAATTTCAATTATATCTAGTAGTCCCTTGAGGCTGGTGGGCTCCATTAAATCTTCACAAATTAGTTATGTAAAGTGACTGCAATTACAGTAAAAGTAACCACCACATTGAATGAGGCTGTTGGTATACCAGACAGCAAAATGTGTTCATGGTGTCAGGGGGAGGGAATCAGCCTTCAGATCCATTCTAAAGGAGGCACCTTTGTTCTAAGCGTGCCTGGGAATGTACCTGCACCGAATGGCCCGGCTTCTCATGGAATTTGAATGAACTGACTAGACACCTGTTTAAGCGGGGGCATCACGGGGACCTAGCAGTCGGTGCTCTTGTACATACTGATGACTGACTGCAAGTGCAAACAAGCATGCAGATCATCATTTCCCATCACAGGTTATTATGACTTACAACTGCCAAATCTCAAAGTCAGTGCTAAGCAACAACCAGCCAACAGCATAATGGCCTCTTCATATTTAGCGGCTCCACACCACAACCCCCCCCCCTCGCTTTTTGATTAGCAGGAGGCCTGAGCGTGGAAGGTAAAATAAATAATAGGAGAACTATGAGTTATTTGCTAATTTTTACCTGCTGTACAATTTTGGAGCAGGGGAAGCACAAGCTGAGATGACTATATTTCCCCAGAGCATTTTAAAGTATCCTAAAGTGTACATGATTCATTGGTGAAAGACGGTGTGTAAGAAAGCGCTCTGTGTTTGGGAGCTGAGTGGCGCAAATACCTGGCATGGAAGAAGTTGGCATAGCAACTCTGCCTCAGCAGCGGTGAGTCACACAGTAAACAGGTGCATAAAACAAGTACTTGACTGGGTTTGCTGCTCCGCAGTGATTAAATCTCATAAAGATTTTTTTTTTTTTTTTTTTTTTTTGGCTGCTTCTTTCGAGAAATACAAACTCTCAGAGCTTAAGGCAGTTCACTTACTGAACAGGGGAGGATATTCATGATTCATGAAAAGATTTATTCTCTGTACTTTCCCTGTGAAATGAGGTGACATTTAGGCAGAAATAAGTCATACCCATTTTATAGTAGACATAATTTTTCATTGACTAGAAAATGGTAACCACAAAATAAGCCTTCTGTGTTTCAAAAAAAAATAGACATTTTAAGAAGTTCTTACCTGTTCACAACAGGGCCCTTAAAATCTGCGTTATATGTCCTTGGATCACCTGCATTTAAAACAAAGACTTCTTTAAGCACATATGTTAGTGAAATAGCAAATAAATAAACATAAAATATTAGTTTAGAAAGATCTACATCTTGGCTAGTCTACTGTTCACTGCAATGCTAAATTCCTTGTTTGGCCTCTTGAAATACCAAGTGTGCCTTGGTTGCAACTATCAATCCATTTTTCTTTTCTAATTAGATGCAAGACTGAGAAGAGAGGCTAAGGACCATGTTCCACACATCCCATGAACAAACCTCCCCACTGTACTGAATACCTAGGGTAGAAAGCCTGCTGCCCTTCTGATTTGCAAAACCTTTCTGCCATCTCCCATCTAGCGCTGCTGGGGACTTGCAAGGTGCAGGTTATCATGTGAGACGCCTGCTTACCTCAGCCCTTCCTTTCCTCGCATGAAGCTATAGGTTAGGTTTTCCTTCAAGACTTTCTTTTTTTTTTTTTTTTTTTTT